AGCAGGGAGCAGGAGGAAAAGCTATGAAGGTGGAGCCATCTACATTACATCTCATCTATCGCTCAAGTCACCAGAGGATCTTGAGGCAGACACCTGCAGGATTTGCCCTTCTCAGGCTTCTGAAGGTGAGTTTAAGCTCCTTTCATATCACTTCTTATAAAAATTCCACAAAGCCTCAGGCCTTGGAGCTCACACTCCTCTTTCTGCCCTCTCTGAAAGGATCCTGCAATGGAGCATGAGTGTCCTTCTCAGTCCTCCTTGTGCTCCTGTTGTTACAGGGGAAGTCAAGACAACCAAGGCTGCTTTGGCTATTTCAAGCACAACTCCTCTCACAGATCTCTGCTGTTATTTTTCCCTCTGACAATATACTTTTACCAGGGCTTCCCACCAAAGCCAGCTCTGTGCAAGCACCTACTGAAACACCCCAGGCTCCTGCTGATAGGTTTGCAGGATTCAGCATCCATCTAAACTCAGGTTGCATAAACCCGGCTCACAGATCCGAGTCCTTCCTGGCTCTGGGTATGGAGGAAGAAACACGCTGTTGGCTCCTCCAGTCATCAGCGCAAGGAGCTGCCATGTACAAGAGAACACAAAGACTGTTCCTGCTAAGGCGACTGCAAGGAAGATCCAAGGGGCACAGCTTGTGGAATGCCACGGGATTTCTAACTCTTTTCAAAATTACCTTTCAGGGAGAGTTCCGAGATGCTTCTGCCAAGTGGAACTAACGTGAGACTAAACCAGACTGAACCCCGCGGCAGACGCCAGCTCTGGCCTCCTCAGGACGTTCTCACTGTTCTGCTACCCGTGGGTTTTGTCTAATTGTTCTTTACTCAGTAACTGCACATCTCAGGAGCTTCTCAAGGAAAGGGGCAGAGAACTCCAGGAGCAGAGCTGGAGCACTCAGAAAGGAAACGTAACATTTCTGGCCCAAGATCTGACTGTCAGCCTCTACTACAAAGAATAACATGAGAGTAACATATAAACACGCTTCAGGATTGTCCAGAAACCTCACTGGGGCCTTTGGAATTTCCCTCGTTTGTGAGGGGAAGTGCCTGGCTCCTTGCTATTCCCAGGAAAGCACATGGTAGCTACCAGGAGGAAGACGAGGCAAATGCACTGGACTGACCAAATGGGACAACCAGCCAGAAGCAGCACTTCACAACCTGCACAGCGAATTCAAACCACTACTGGAATTTTGGATTGCTATGGAGTAAAGACATTTGCCTCTCAATTTCCAGCCCCAAATAAAGGTGACTGTGCTGTCTGACCCACAAGGAACATGTATTCCAGAACACCAGCACAGGAAGGACTCGTGGAATGGGGACAAGTCTTGGAGAATCACGAAGAGCAGCTCCCCCTCTGCTCATCACGAGTAGCTGAACATACAAACACACACTTCTCCTTCCCTGTCTACCAGAGATATTCCTGCAGCTCAGGTGCACAAGGTCCTGTAGCAACCCCTGCTCCATTTATGTGCATCGGCAAATACTCAGTTAGGCATCAATTCTGCAGAGCAGAGCCTTGATTTATTTTACGTTATTAATATCCAAAATACAGTTTCGATGAGCAGCACCACTTTTACGATCAACTGTGACCAACCGTAAACAATCAGAGCCAAGTTAGTCCTCACCCAGACTGGTTTTAGACAGGAGCACATGGAACAAAACTTCCATTGTGAGTTTGCTGTTCTCTGGGTATTAGATCTCATCAACATGAGCTTGCTAATCCTCTGACTCCTTTCCCCATTGCACTTGCACGGCTCTTTTTATAGTCACAAAGAACTTATCTTCCCCCTGATTTAGGCTGGTTTCAGAACAAGCCATGAGGAACCACCTCCAATTATTGGAGCTACTGCTGCAAAGTTTCCTGGAAGCACAACAAATGCTGTTTCTTCTCAGACTCACCCAACTGGGTAACTGGAAAATGAACCCAATTAGTCTGTGGTGTTTGTATTCCCCACAAACTCCAAGGTTGGAGCTGCCTGGCACGGCCAGACAGGAATGGCCAATGGAGCTGGGATGGCCACTGGGTCATCTGCTCCTCTGCTATGGGGAGAGGACTTTGCTCAGGACAAAACCAACCTGGGCCAGGTCCCTACGAGGCAAGGTCAAGGCTGACAAATGCATCTGAAGACGTGCTCCCGATGACCAAGAGAGGAGGGTCAGAAATTGAAGCACAAGTCATAAGGTCGTGCCTGGAACTCCAGTTCCTGCCACAGCCTGAGGTAAGCCGGGGTAACTGTGTCACGTCTGGCTGAGCTGGCCACGGCCCAGGCGCGCTGTGCTCTCACCCCGCAGCCCTCACTCCCGCCCCCGAGGCCGCTCTGTTCCCTGCCTTCCATTGCAAGACCCCAGGGACATTTTCACAGTGTGATGCCTAAACCCTCCCCTGGCGTCCCTGCACCTCCCCAGGTACCACCTCAACAGCTCCGTTGCTTTCTTGCAGTTTAAGCCTTGACCTGTTTGGGGTTCGCGATGTCCTGGTTTCACCGCTTGTGTCTTCCTCCCTCCCCAGCAG